ACCTCCAGACCTCTATGGTTAGCTAGTGGCAAGCTCCATTTTCTGATCTTCAGACAGGCTTTATTTCTACAAGCAAGATGTCACCATAGGTCACATCCTTTGAAAGGAGAAACCCAGCTTCAAAATTTTCATATTCATTTCCAGCCTGGAAACACCCTGGGGGTTTAGAGCAGAAAAGTAAGACAAACAACAAAGAAACAAAATGCTACGGAATTTTCAGCCTTTCATTCCAAAATCAAAAGTTTTGCTTCTCAACATTTACATGAGTTGAATGTATTGTTTACTTATTGAACGAGCGTTGTGGAATGTTAATTTAAGATGTGTTGCTGTCGTTCACCCTGTGGAATATTTATTTAATGATTCAAAGATGTGTTGCCTTCTTTCTCTCTGCATTTGTTTAACTCTGTAAAGCTGTGTTACTTTGCCTGCCTCAAACATCTGATTGGTCTGATAGCTGAAAGGCCAATAGCAAGGCAGGAGAAGGGATAAGAGGGGCTAGCAGGCAGAGAAAATAAATAGGAGAAATCTACGTTCAAGAGAAGAAGGAGAGGAATGCCCCAGGAGCCAGCCACACAGTCAGCCATGGAGTAAGGAGGATAGGAAGACATATAGAATAAAGAAAGATAAAAAGCCCAGAGACAAGAGGTAGTTAGAGAGAAAGAGGAAAATTTAAATTAGAAAAGCTGGCTAGAAACTGATGGGGAATATACTGTGTATGTTCATCTTATTGATTATTGAATAAAGTACTTGTTTGGCCAAGGAGACAGCAAGTTAGACAGGACTAGGAGTCAAAGAGGATTCTGGGAAATGTAGTAGAGAAGTGGTGATCCAGGCAGGAAGTGACATAGCAAGGAGACTCATATTTAAGCAAGGAGAAACAGGAAGCGTCCCTTTTCCCCTCCGCTCTTCCTCCAGCAGCACAATGTGATCCACCGACAAGAGAGGGAGCCAGTGGAAGGCGTCCTCTATAAGTCTTATAAAATATGTAGGAGTTTGATAGTTCAGACTGAGCTAACAGATGAGGAGTCCTAGTCATTGGCCAAGCAGCATTTGAACCTAATACAAGTTTCTGTGTATTCATTTGGCCTAACTTGGGCGGGCAGCTGGCGTAAAGCGCACACGTGGTGGTGGGGCTCGGGTGGCTTTTGACAGAAAGATTTATCATAACAAGAAACAAGCAGACTGGGCATTCATAAGTAAGAAAAAGTCTCCATGTGTTTATTTGGGAGGTGGGTGGCGGACCCCCCCAAAAGTAAAAAATCCATGTACAAATGAACATTTAGGGGCCTCTTGTGCTGTAAATAATACAAAACCGACAAGATGAAGACATTACATTCTCAGCAAGTTTAGCCTACTGGGTGTCAGGTGTGGAAAGAGAAGGCAGGCAAGAAAACGAATTGGAAAAGAACAGTGCTGGAGGGACCATCAAACACTTACTGGTCAAAGGAAGATTCTCAAGATGAGCGGGGTGAGAAGGCTGCCCTATGCAAAGCCCCCAGAGATGCCTGAAGACAGAGAGTGGGGAGAAGGGCAGGGTAGAAGACATGGCAGCTGGTCTGACAGGAGTTACTAAACTTGCACAATCAAGTTCAGGTTAGGTAGGGCTCCTTAGCCCTGGCACAACTTTATGCTTTTTCAACTGTACCAGCAAACAGGAACAAACAACAAGGAAGAAGCCTAAATGTCACTTTTAGAAGCTTACCTTGGCATCTGTGTGTGGAAAAACAAAGCAAAACCTAAAATCAGTAGGCCTGCAAGCGGGCAGCTGTTAGGAGCCCAAGGCAGCAGCCTGGGTGGTGGTTGGCAACTTAGAACTCGGCATGTTTTCTGGCCTCTGTAGGACATAGGACTATTTATAAATAGTCAAGGAAAAATGAAAAGAGACTACTCCTTAGGAAACATGCTCGGCCAGGGCTTAGTGAGGACACAGCAGCTACCGTGCTGGACAACGCGTATGTTGAGGGGTTTTGCTGTATGGTTTGCTTGGCAGCTCTCTGCAGAGTAGGAACATGTCCCAACTTGCAGGTTGTGGCGGCCATGTGTTATCCTTGTGTTTCCCCATTATGGTCTTTAATAAGCCAGGCCTAAAGTCTTTTCTACTAAGGTCAGATTAACCTTTTACACACCACCTCAAAATTATTTCTTCTATGAAATCTTTCTTGAAAGTCAAATTAGGCATAGGCTCTGCCTCTCTAAATGTCCCATCTGCGTTTGGTTTTCCTCAGCAATTCGATGCTATTGTATTGTGTCTGTCAGAAATCCAAAACCCCAACTCACATCCAAAACACCCTTATCATCCTAGTGCCACTCCCATAGCTCCAGATTCCCATGCTACATGGACGACTCTACCATGCAGTTCACATGTTTCTTAAGTCTGCATCCTTAGCTCAGTCGTTGGCATTTGAACTAGAAGAGAGCCAGTGATACTAACTACGAGACAGGTGCTCCACACAATGAGATAAAGATGCTCTTTCTACCTCTGCAAGGTCTACACACAGGTCAGGGCCATCTGGTGGTCATGTTGCCAACAAACAGGCAGCCTGAGGATGAGGACAATGGTAGGAAAGCCAAGCCAAGAGACAAAGGCTGAACCTGGAGAACCTCACACTTGGCTCCTTCTGAACTGGGAGAGCTTTCTCTCCTGAGCATCACTTACTGTGGGCATTTTCCTAGGTTAGATGAAGGCAGTTTGTACAGAGGGGTCCTTGCCTATTTTAGCCTCAAGGCATTTGTGTTCAGCTTGTTACAAGACAGACATGCTCGCTTCTTCCTTCTCTTCTGTAGGTTTTGCCCCAGCCACTCAAAACCAGAATCACCCCAGGTGCTTTCAGATCAACATTTGTAGGACGTATTATGAGCACACACTCACCTCAACCAAAATATTCTCTACCGGTTTTAATATTAAAATTTCTGTAACATGATGATAGTCAACATTTATGGTGCCAAGGAATACCTTTATTACTTTCCAGTAGATACACTTCTATATTTCTCTAGATTTTTACATATTGTGCGCGTGCGCGCGCACACACACACACACACACACACACACACACACACACACACTTACTTTGCTGAATTTCATTACTGCATGCCACCTGAAATAAGTCTAAGTGTTCCAGTTATCATGCAGTTGTGGCCCTTCAGGGCTCTTTATCCTTACCCAATGGAGGAATCTGAAGGAACTCCTCAGGCTGGCAGCTGTGTGCTAGCCTGGGCAGAGCAGTGGCGGCATAGGGCATTCTCTCTTTCCACCAGCTTTACTTTCTGGATCACTTTACAAGGACCTGCTTAGCTCCAGGTGCTAATCTGCCTCCATTTCCTGTTCTGTTCTTTCCATATAGAGAATCTGGCCAAAGTCTTCCTATCATGCAGTTGGCTAAGGGTGGATCTATGCACCCAGCGGCTGGAAAGGTCTCCACACTCCAGTCCAAAGGTACTCCAAACATGGCGGGGAATGTACAGGTGTCATCCTACACCTGTCCACAGAACCCCTTTACTGACTAGGGCTGGGCTGAAGAACGGTGGTTCCTTCTTGAAGGAATAAAGAACAGACCCCCCCCCCCACACACACACACACTGGTCTACGCTTTGCTCTAAATGTGCTACTATGTCTGTTTACAAATAGGATTAAGAACAACTCTAGAAGACAGTGCACAGGATAAGATTATATTTTATTAGAGATCTTATATTACATATTCCCAAAAAGTTATAAAAATCTTCCAAGAGAAAAATATCAAAACCTGTTGATTTCAATGAGCAAAATAATCAGAATGAAAGCAGACATTTTCTTCTTGACAAAGGCCTGTGAAGACATTTCAGCACAAGTACAAAGACACAGGAAGAGAATTCCACAATTATAACATCTTACAGCATTTTACTGTGCACTGTTGACATTTTTTAGAAAAGGAGACTGCTGATATTTGAACAATGCACCTAATAAACAAAATTAGAATTTCAGCACGTGGGGAGAGGGCTGTGAAGCAATGACTTGGTGCATTGAGTCTGTGACAATACATGTAACGAAATCTAACCAAATAGATGACTGACGTGTGGCTGGCGGTGCATGTGTGCCACAGATACCCAATTATTTAGTTAGTTCTTGACCATAACCCAAAGCAAAAAAACCCTCTCTTGATTTCCCTGATGTTGTAGTCTGAAAGTAACTTTAAAAAGCAGAAACTTGCTGGTTAAATAGAGTTTCTGCTTCACCTGTGAGTAAACAGCTGGCGGCAACAACACGAACTGAGTAGGAGTCCCACTAACACAGGGCAGATCCATTTTTATTGCATCAGTCTCCATTTCATCTCACTTGTAGTGAGACTTTCTGTAGTGACTCAGTACAGATTTAACCACAGTACACAGTGAACAGTGAACACCACACACAGGAAGGTGTACCCTCAAGATACAACAAGAATACTGATCATGCTCCTAGGATTGGCTCCTGGCTCTCCGAGCCAATGTCTGTAGAGGTCTACAGAGGAAGCCATTTGGTTGTGTTTTAGTTGCTTATTCCCCAACAAATGAGGCAGGGAATGTACACCATTTGCTTATTGCACGGAAGTTATACCCTTGCAGTATTGTCGTCAACTCTGGTACTGCTTCCTTAATGACTACCGGCAGAACAGAACAGAGAACGTAGGAACTGTGTCCTGAGCAGAAAGTCAGATGACTATCAGAACAAATGGTGAGGCGGAAATGAGTTTTTGCTGTAAGGTATTGGAATGACAAGAGGTAAATGGAAGTTTAAAGTCAGATAATACTAAACCAGGTTACGACACTGAAGAGAATTTTTTCAAAAGTACATAGCCAGAGAATTCATTTCTAGGCAGACATTAAATACTATTATTATATTAAAGAAACAAATGATCTGAAATTAACTTAAAAGTCCTGTGATGGTACATGGGCTAGAATAACACTCTAAGTTCACCACACGAAAACGTTTGGAACATATCTTTAGTAAGAGACATCAAGATGAGCTACACAAATGGATTTCAAAACAGTCTGTTTTAAAGCATTCTCTCTTTAATATGGTTAACTACTGTGAAATGCAAACAGTATTTGGATCTCGTGTGTTACAAAATCCTTGCTTCAAGTTGCAGTTTCCTTGGCAGCAGCATATTTTAATTAACAATATTTTTTCCTTGTTTTGTTTTCTGACATCTCAGTACATTCAAATAGTCAAAATGTTTAGAGTAACACCACCACAAATTTAATGAAACAGATCAGAACGTGGCCAGCATTATCAAGCAAAAATTACATAATTTATGTGTCATAGAAAGTACCCAACCCCTGCCACAGCCTCCCAACACCCCTCCCCTTCCCAAACAGTAACATGGACACCAAAAGATTTAACAAGACTTATAAAAAAATAAGGCACATTTATTTTTGATATGGTAATTTAAAAATAGAAAACCCCACCTTGGAACACCTGTATTCAAATGAGCTGTGTAAAAAGACACCTTGTGGTACCTAAAATGGAATTGCTTCTTCTGTTTCAGTGACAATGGAATAAATTGCACCTATCTCACATTGTCAAGTAATGAAAATATGCCTCTTTTTCTACTGTTGAATGACTATAAAAATCAGTTATTATTTTAAACATATGGGTAGGAAAGGGTAGTCAAGAGGTTCATTGGGAAAGAATATGAAAATCAACTACACTTATCATAGGGGTTGAGGGATTGCACTTTTCCACATATTTGAAACACGCACAAAAAATTGAAATTTGTAGTAATGATCAATGATTACAACTATTTTGGCCATTAAACTATTCCCCACCAACTTCTGTTTTTTTTTCTTTCCATTTAGGTTAAAGGGGTTATTTTTTTTTAAATATAAAACTAATGATCAGAAAAATGAATTTTTTAAGAATCTCTTTACAGCCCTCAATGCAAACATAATTAGTTAGCATTTAACCTGAGATACAGTCTGTTGAGGGCTGTCGTTCAATACTTCTTCATTTTTATTCCATCAGTTCACACTGATAGTGGTTCTTTGTGGGACAAACTTAGAAAAAGAAACCGTTTTGAAAGCATGGCTTTTTCTTCTTTTTTTTTTACTAGACTGGTTTTAAAAATAAAAAATAAATCACAGAAGTCACGTTCTCACAGTAGCCAGAAGCTAAAGTAATGTACTTAGTTATTGCACGTAAAAACCAAGGAAAGTAAGGAAGTCAGAGTTTCTCCACTCAAATCTGACAGTCAGTTTCACCTTAAGCGGATGCGGAATGTGCTGATCTCCATGGGACTCAGGGTGACTTCGCTTAGATTCTGGGCATCTGGGGGTGAGTGCATCAAGGACAGTGAGGAAGGGGTGAGGCTCTCCACAGCAAACTTGTTGAAAAGTTTTGGTACTGACATCTAAAAAAAAGCAAGTGACAAAGATTTGCATATTCAGATCAACCCTGAGATGTGTATATTCAGACCAATCCTGAGAGAAGGCTAGAAGCACATCTATAAAATCAATTTAAGGAATGTACAGGAAGGAATTTATATGCTGAATTTCCCTTTAAGAGCATGAAGGAGGAAGGACATTCCTGAACACATAAACTATCTATAGTTTCTTTGCATTTCTTGTAGTAGTATACATGGACATTTCAATATGAGAGTCATATGAAGAGTCAACAAGTCCCCGTGGTCCCTGAGGACTTTCAAATAGAGCTCTTTTGGTTAATATTCATCCCTAATAATGTGATTCTAAACCACCACCACCCCCTTTGCCAAAAGAATTGAAAAATGAGACACAGGTTCATTATAATAATGGCTCAGTACATTAACTGACCTCAACCTACAGGGACAGTGGGAAAATATATTCTCCACCTTGCCAGGTTATCCTAAAGTGTCTCTTGGAATAATATATCTTTATTATCCCTCTTAAGACTCAATACCTCAACACTAGAAGGTTTATTATCTACATTCAGATCATCACCAATAGAGCAGAAATCACTGGAAAACATGCACACAGGAAGAGTGGGACAAAGACAGTCATCCAGGCTCACCTTCTTCTCAGACCTCAGAATGGGTGCTAATTTGTAGCCTTGGGACAAGATTGCTTGAGTCTGTACTGTGGTGTGCCTATGCAGTTCCCGAAGCTAGCTGGCTCTGCCAAGCTGCTGGGTGGGAGGACCTGGCTGTGTGCAGGGACCAGACAGCTGCTTTGTGAGTCATGACTCACTTACAGGCAGGAGACTGGATGTTCATCCTTCCAAGGAGAGGCTGATGAACTGCCAGAAGACCAACTTAAGGAGAAAAATCAAGAACAGGCAAGCAGCCAGCAGCGTGCGGACTAACGAGCCATCTGATCTCCACAGAGATGACTCAGATGCAATCTGGATCAATCAGGAGACCCAGACACACATTTATTTTTCCAAATGAATCAACTGACTTGAACTCTGCACAGCTGCCTCTGGGTCCGGCTCAAGTACTCAGACCACAGTCTTGATGTTTATGCCATAACTTTATTCTTATGCCAATCATCAGTTATTTTAAAATTTGCCTCAGCCTTTGCAGAACATGGGTTCTACCTACCATGGCTAAAATATATGGTATGTGAGCATGGGTGGCCCAGAGGAATTGAAAATGGGGAGATGTAAGGTGCTCTGTAGTCCCAAAAGAGAAGACATGAACATTAGCTTCAAAAGCGAACAGATTCCAGCCATGTATTTTGAAGCTGAGGACTTAGGTGGAGCTGAGGAGACTGAGGCTGGCTTGCAGGCAGGAAGGAACATAGGGGCTCTGGGCAATGAAAAGCCATATTGTTCTATCTGCAGAAAGTGAAGATTCCAAGCACACTGTCTTGACTAGCAAACATACACTCTAACTTACCTTTCCCTGAGTAGTTGAGCAGGAAAGACCCATGCCTCTACTGGAGAACTGGCAATCAAACCCTTTCCTGTGGAGGATCAAGGCTGCCTCATCTGAGTAGCCTTTACCCATCTGAAAACAAGAACATCAATATAGCACACAAGCATTAACGTATTTACAGCGTGTCACACAGCACTGTTGGGTGTCTGTACATTTATTCAGCAATGAGATAACGATGAATTCATCTTGTCAAAGGCTTCACATTAGTTGGGCCCATCCATTTCTACCAGCACTCAAGTTTACCATTAAGGTCCTGGTTAAGTAATTTTGATAGGGAAGGTCCTTCTGTGTATGTGTTTGTCTTATTGGTTGATAAATAAAGCACTGTTGGCCAATAGGGAAGCAAGATAGGTGGGACTAGGAGTTGAGGAGGATTCTGGGAAATGTAGTAAGGGAGGGAAGTCACCAAGTGATCCCGGTAGGAGAGGACACATGAGTCTGGCATCCTTGATAAATCCTTATAAAAATATATAGATTAATAGTTATGGTTGGTACTCAAGACACAGCTAGCAAATAAAAACTCCTAGTCCTTGGCCAGCAGCATTGTGACTAATATAAGTCTCTGTGTGTTATTTGGGGGCTAAAGCGGCAGCACAACCAAGGCAGCTGGTGGAAAGTTACTGTTACATAACTTCATGCCTTTGTTTTCCCCCATGAACCCTAAAGATAGCTTTCCTTCTGCCCACATGTTAATCCTGTTTTACTAAAGTGTCCTCAAATAAAATAATTTAATTTTTTTTTTACATACACATTGAATAAAACATACATGAACTTAGGTCTGGTCAAGTGATGACATAATATGGGAGAGCTCTTCTCCATGAAATAATACTTTCTGTGAGGTGCACTAACATTCTTAATGTTTAATGTGTTGGTTCATTATTTTTATACAACACACATTTAAATTGAGTTGGTTATGCTATGCCAGCCCACATATATTAACTTGATATATCATTTTAAGCTCACATTACAGGACTCCTCCTGGGGCAAAGAAAAACACCAAGCATAACCAGTCAGCCATGAGGAGAAACATACATTTTATTTGTCTGTTTATTCATTGCAATAAACTCTCTTGCATCCATCTAAATAGTGATGCCATGTATTATTCGGATTTTGGGGTATTTGAAGTTAGAATCATCTTCACATACATATTTTTTCTAAAGTGTAAACATGGGGCTGGAAGAGATGACTCAGTAAGAAAAGGCACTTGGTGGAGCAGGCAAGCCTGATGATCTGAGTTCAAATCCCCAGGACCTATATACAGAAGCAAAGTGTGAGCATCTCCAATCTGGGCCATCCCTATACCAGAGAATGAGAGATGGAGATGCTATCTCTGGGTGCACAGGTCAGTTAGCCCAGCTAACCCGGAAGCAAAGATCCCTGCCTCAAACAAGGAAGAAAAGGCAAGAACCAGCATTGGCAGGGTTCCAACTTCCACATGTGTCCTGCAGACCCCACACATGCTCACAGATGCACTCAAGTACACACAAATGGAAAAAAAAAAAAGTATTAGGTGTTTGTGAGGATAAGCAAAATGATTAAAAATCTATGGAACTTTTATGACATATAAGCCATTCAAAGGAGATCCATCTGTTGCAGACACAATTTACTTCTCTCTTCTCCAGCCTGAGAGATGACATGGCCAAGCTCACGGACATCAATCACAACTAGAGGTCAAGATCTGTTTCAGGTGATATGGGGATGTCTTTCCTGAATAGCTGACAGAAAATCTCCCTCAGCAGTTTACACTGCCCTACCCACCCACCCAGGTTTGACCCGGCATAGCATGCTAGGATGGTGTGCACGGCAATTATTTCCAGTGATGTTGCAAGATTTTGTCTGAAGGGAGAGGAAAAGATTTAAAGAACTCTGAGTCATCGGGGACCATGACATACATAGCGACTTTAAGTCTATAGATGATAAAGATGTCCAATAAAACTTCAACAAAATTTTGTGTCCTGATACACATTTCACAGCATAAAAAATAGCACATAGAAGACTCTTCACTAATTATACACAGATCATCATAAGAATAACAAAGAGAACTCAATCCTGGCCCAATTGTGGCACCTGGGAACAGCAACTTATTTTAAGCATCAATTTGCCTATAAAATAGAACTAATGTTTGCCTGCTTCCTGCATGAGTTCATCCTGTGCATGCCTCCAGCAGGATTTCTGTCTCAGAGAGCCTGGAAGGACAAGAAGTACTAGTCAAGAAACCAAAGATGAGTGGCTCAGAACCTAGGTGAGGACTTGTCCAGCCACTCTGTGCTCTGCAATTTACGAGCTGCATTTAGTAAAACCAGGTTTTCCCTTTTCTATGAAATAGAATAAATGAACTAACATAGAAAAGATGTGGTCCAATGGAAGATAGTTGAAAACCCTGATATTAACCCACACACCTACCAACACCTGATTTTTGACAAACAATCCAAATTTATACGCTGGAACAAACAGAACATCTTAAACAAATGGTGGTGGCAGAACTGGATGCGGACATGTAGAAGACTACAGATAGCCCTGAGACTATCGCAATGCACAAAGCTTAAGTCAAAATGGATCAAAGATCTCAAAATAACCCCAGCCACACTGAACCTATTAGAAGATAAAGTGGGAAATACCCTTGAATTAATTGGTACAGGAGACTGCTTCCTGAACATAACACCAGTAGCACAGACACTGAGATCAAAAATTAATAAATGGGACCTCCTGAAACTGAGAAGCTTCTGGAAGGCAAAGGACACAGCAAGACAAAACGACAGCCCACAGACTGTGAAAAGATATTCACCAGCCCCACATATGACAGAGGACTGATCTCCAAAATATGCAAAGAACTCAAGAAGCAGGCTCCAAAACACGAAACAATCCAATTAAAAAATGGGGTACAGAACTAAATAGACAATTCTCAATAGAGGAATCTAAAATGGCTGAAAGACACATAAAAAAGTGTTCAACATCCTTAGCCATCAGGGAAATGCAAATCAAAACAACTCTGAGATACCATCTTACTCCTGTCAGAATGGCCAAAATCAAAAACACCAATGACAGTTTATGCTGGAGAGGATGTGGAGAAAGGGGAACACCCCTCCACTGCTGGTGGGAGTGCCAACTCTTACAGCAACTTTGGAAATCAGTGTGGCGATTCATCACACACTGATTTCCCATCAAAATGGGAATGAGTCTAACATAAGATCCAGCAATTCCACTCCTAGGCATATACCCAAAAGAAGCACATTCATATAACAAGGACATCTGTTCAACGATGTTCATAGCAGCACTATTTGTAATAGCCAGAACCTGGAAGCAGCCTCGATGCCACTCAACTGAAGAATGGATGGAGAAAATGTGGTACATTTATACAATGGAGTACTACTCAGCAGAAAAAAAAAACCAATGGAATCTTGAAATTTGCAGGAAAATGGATAGAACTAGAAGAAACCATTCTGAGCAAGGTAACCCAATCACAAAAAGACAAGCATGATATCTACTCACTCATATGTGGATTTTAGACATAGAGTAAGGATTACCAGCCTACAATCCACACTGCCAGAGAAGCTATTAAACAAGGAGGACCCTAAGAGAGACATACATGGTCCCCTGGAGAAGGGGAAAGGGTCACGATTCCTTGAGCAAATTGAGAGCACGGGAAGAGGGGGGGAGGGAGCTAGGAGAATGAGAAGGGAAGAAGAGGAAGGGTGCAGAGGTCATGAGGGAGCAGAAAGGTTGAGTCAGGGGAAGAGTAGAAGAAAGGGGATGTGATAGGTAGGGTTTTAGTTGGAGGGGCTACTAGGGGAGGACGGGAGGGAGAAGGAAACTGGGATTGTCATGTAAAACAATCTTGTTTCTAATTCAAATGAAAAAATGATTAAAAAAAAGATGTGGTTCAATGTTTGATATAGGATGACCTTGCCAAGTCAGCTATTTGTGTTTTTAAAGAAATTCATCAGATTAAAATAGGTGACAACTTCATAAACATTACAAATTAATACAAGTGAAGTTCATATTCATAAATTTCCCCACTGGCACTATAACTTTGTAGCTAAAGAATAAGAGAGCTCTCCAATTATATATGTATGGTTATATATCAAAGCTCCAAAGTGTCTATATGTGGATTCACAGGTTAGATGCCTTCTTAATTACACTCTTTTAGAAGCACTTGTCACTGTTAACCTAAAATATGTGGCATTTTTAATTCTCTGGAGCATTCATAAAAGCTACTTAACCTAGTACTGTAGAATACTACACACACACACACACACACACACACCCACACACACACACACACACACACACACACACACACACACACACACACACACACACACACACACACACACGAAAATCTAAATGAAATAACAGGAGAGAATGCCCCAAGTAGACATCTTTCACCACCACGTGAAACTTCCAGTGCCAGGAATGGGCTACATCTTGTTGATTCTTTTGGTCAAAGGAGCCCTATGGAAAACCCCAAACACCACAGCGATTGCCAGGCTATTGGTTGCCCTCCACAAACCAAAGGTAAGGCCCTATGGCTGAAGGCAATACTTGTATATCTCATTGAGCATGAAGAAGTTGAACTGCATTTAAATTCGTACTCATAAATTCATAAACTACTGTTCCTCTAAAGGGATGCTGCAATAAAATGACTCCTGAGGACATTCTGCTCTATTCATACATCAGGGCCTCCCTCAGCCATCAGCAGAGAAGCTGCCTCCTGCAAACACCACAACTAGACAATGTTCAGAGTGAGAGACTTGGAGGACTCGGTCTGGAGGTGGGGGGTGTCTATCAAATCCCTCCCTTTGAGGCTCAGGGATCTATGCAGAAAAGGAGGCAGAAAGGCTGTAAGAGCCAGAGGGGCTGGAGGACTCCAAGGAAGCAGTGTCTTCCAGACACAACAGGCCCGACACACATAGGAACTCAGAGACTATGGCAGCACGCACAGGGCCTGCATAAGTCAGACGGGCTCCCAGTGCTGAGAGTGGGAGGTTGACACAGCCCCACCCCTAACCAAGAAGCTATCTGCAATTGACACCACTTACAAAGGACAACTCGGTTTTCTCCAATGGAGTCTC